TGGAATTCGGACTAGCAGCGTTCCTCTCGGTCTTCCTCTCAATATGACCAAGTTGCAAAGACAAGGTCAAACAACTTCTATTGAGTCGTATTGTTAAAAAAAGCTTTTTATATGGCAGCAATTTGTACATTAGCTATATTTCTAGGGTATGCATACGTCTTCTGGTAAGCATTCTTTTGAGAAAGGTTTTCTTATTCCGCAGGCATTTGTATACTTCAGAGCTTAATTGGGTAAATTGTATAAATCTGAATAAGTACGCTTTGTTTCATTTAAATGTCATTGATACTTTTAACGAGATATCTATTCGAGGCCCAGCGATGACCTCAAGGCGCGACTAGGAGGAATGAGACCAAATGTTTCCCATTTCCCTTATTACTCTAAATCAGTTTAAGAGGAGACTCTTCCTTGTAGACATATGAAGAGCCGTAAGCAATGTATTTTATACTATATCTTTTAAGAAAAAAGTTCATTTTCCCGTTATTTGCACACAATTTTAATGCATCCTTTGGCCTAATTTGGAACTTTTAGCTTGTCTGTTTCATGTCATATCATTCATACACGCGCACTCGCATACAATAATACATACAAGCCTTTAGATATGAAGACAGTCGTGGTGTGATGATTGGTTTGATTTCAACTTGGTCATGGGGTCATGAAGACTTCAAGGAACGTAACCAATCCTGAGCCGTCTGCCACAATATTTACGATAATTTCTTGTATTGTAAATGTACCAAGTAAATTGTCATTTTCTGGAACTTATCATGACTGGTATTGCCGAAGGCCCAGGACAGGATATATTCTTTAATGTTGTCCTGGCATCATAAACAAATTGAGCAAAAAAGTCAAGCCAACTCTTTCAAAGTGTTTACATGACAATACTCTGGTTAAATCTTTCCATCTACCTCTTTATATTTTCTTAATTTGCTGTTGTTATGAGTACATATAGTGGGTAACAAGGCGATGATGATAATCGTTGGCTGAAAATTCTTTCATCATTCATAGAAATCTAAGAAGGAACTCTTGTGGACTTCAACACCCTGAGCTTCCTTTGTATGTTAAAGGATTGCAGACGGGCGCGAATCCGTAATTGACTAACTAGCCTTTTCATCGCCAAAACCATGCTGAATTTTGAGTCTCAAGAAAATGGGTAATTAAATAGTAATCATTATTCAACCAGTAATTTCACTAACTCAAAACGAATTTAATTTTAATTAAAAAATTTTGTTCATTTAGTACATTTAACAGTGTTATGCTTTTCCCCCCACCATTCTAAATTGTTAAACAGATTTATCATATTTTCAAGATAAAATCATATGCCGAGCCTTGTGAGAAGATTGGTTTTTAGGTATAGATAATACGGCTGCATTTCACTAAATTTTTTGACGTAAAACTATGTTTAGAAGAGTTTTTAGTGCTATATTGTGACATGACTTTCCTTTTCGAAGACAACAGTGAAATGGTCTCACCAGTAACAGAAGGAGGGTTGTCACGGCGTGAAGATTGTTGGATTGTGCGAGCAATTACTGCGACCCCGATGAGCCTGTACTAAGCAAGAATAAGAATCCAGCCTTTACGAAATAGCGCAAAAAATAGACTAAATTTTGCTCGAGGTCGCAGCATGGTGAGCCGACGACGTTTTTGTACAATCCATTCAGTGGTAATCATTTTTCGGTTTCCGGGGAGACCATTTCAAGAATTTTTTCCAACCAACTTTTCATTCGAAATGGATAATCATGTCACTAAATTTTAGCTTTTGTGGATTAAAGATGAATATCGGTGTCATCAATATTATTATCTAACAACGATTATGTCTACTCATATAAGAACTGATAAGAGGGAAGAGAATGTTGTTAAAGATGCATGATTGCATCACTTTGACATTTTGAACATGCAATCTAAGTCCCTGTCTTGTCAGCCCCTTCAGACTCACTTTGGAAGAGCAGACATCTTCATCTCTCGCAACAGATGAATTCGTCCCCCTTCTCTTTCTTTGCATCTTTATCTCATGCCACGGTTAACAAACCACAAAGTATCTTGACAGCAGGTTCTGCAAAGCTGACCTTACAAAAAATACAACTCGATCTCCTCGTTGTCAATGTCGTTTCTTACTACCGAAGCAGCCAGGCAACAGAGTCTGGCCCCTCTGATGCATTCACCTCGATGCACCAGCAAAGACGCCCACATGGTCGAGCCTTTTCCTGCTCTCATTAAATTACACTTCTGCCATGCCAGACCAATGTGAAGCTATGGACTGCGGCAGATGGGCGCTGATCTGGTGGTGACCAAAATCTAGATCACGACAAGATTTATGGCAAAGAGGTGGGGAGGAGCAGGCACCGAATGACAGACGCAATTGCCTTGAGGTGTGTTTACTCGGAGACTGCCCACATGCGATAATTTCGGCCGAACTGCAGACGAAGGCTGGGACCGATTCTTATGGTCTATGAAGATAGACGGTCCCGGGCGGCTGGTACCAAAACAGGGCATTCAGCGTCTTCTGGCAACCCCGCCCAAGGAGGCGCCCGTTTGTCGACCCGTCTCAGACTCCACAAAGCCCAGCCTCTCAAGCCACTTCGAAGAAAACATGCACTTTTGTACGCAAACCACAACGGCCAGCCAACTTGATGAGTTCACACTGTCTGTGGCTGGCTTTGTTCTCACTCTTCTGGTCTTGTCAACAGGAGCTGCTCAGATGTTTTATCTTTTTTTTTGGAGTTTAGTCTCTCAAAAGTCTGTTGCTCTTCATCAGATCGGCTTCAAGTGAGCCGACAAGTGTCAACATGCCATACTGTCACAAATGCTCAGGTGTTAAGCAGACGACTGATTTCCATAATCTCAGTCAGGGCCTAGCTTTGCGTCGAGTTATTTGAGGAATCCGGTCTGTTTCGCAGTGCACCGTACCCAGTCGGAGGGGGATAGGCCAATCTCCAGTTGCCGAGTCGGTCGGTCGCAGAAGAACGAGACAGACGTGCACTCTTAGAATGATGTAAAGCGCTAATAATGCTATTTTTGGTACCCATCGCAAAAGAAGTGTTCACAGAACAGGAAACCAGCATATGCTGGCTTTATTCATTGCATCTTCTTCAACCGAACTTACAAAGTAATGATCAAGATTATACAATCTTGGATCATTCGAAGAATAGGATAAAGAGGTAGAGACCAGTTTGATGATGAGACGGGAAGGCTAAGACAAATATTGTATTTTAGGCTTGGTTGAAAATAGTTTAAGCTTGATAAATTATAAGAGTTACCGGTTTTTGCTGAATCTCCTGATAGGAAGACAGCTGATTCGCGGTGTACTGCCGCCGTTTGGTTGCAATTCGACGTTCAGGTTGGCACAATCCTGCCTCGTTTCGAGTGAAAACGGGCCCAGCTTCCGTCCATCATTTGACAGACATCGTCCGAGCTGCAACTCATTCCTGTAAAAGTCTCATATTGACATTAGGTCAATAAGGCCTAGCCGAATGGGGATCAGCCGTCGTCTTCTGGCTGGATCGACCTTCGAATACCTTCTTCATGCACTTTTTTACGAAATGAAAGACGCCCCAACAACACTAAAAGTTTGCAGGGAGACAATTTAAGGGAGTAGGGAATTAAAATGGGGCTCGGGAATCAAATGAAACTTTCTCCAACTATTCAGAGATGCTACCGAAGCTAGCAGATTAGGCAATATCTCGAAGACCTACTCAATACAGAAAAAAATATCTTGAATGTCTGGAATGCAGATCGAGAATAAAGAAAGCAAAACATATCCTTAATTGCTGAAGCTAAGGCTAAAGAGGGTGATAAGGGTAACTCATCTAGTTTTGTTGGTATAAATGTTGTCCTACTTTCTCTACTCATTAGTCAACACATTCACACACTCAAAGCACAAGCACGAGCACAGACACAGACACAGACACACATTAAAGCCTACCAATGTAATCAGACGTGTGTCTGTTAGCCTAAATTAGTTGGCACAATTGTATCCTATGACAGATGAAAGCGTGAAGCCGAGGTGATTGCTTCGATGGCAGTTTCAATCAGAATGTTCTAGTCAGACCAAACGACGGCCGGCCGAGAGGAATCCTCCGTCGTCTTCCAGTGGGATCGACCGTTGATTCGCTTTTTCACACACGTTTACTTGAATTGGGAATGAGCTCAACAATACTATGTGCAATATTCCTTTAATGGTATAGAAAGTTCACGAGTCATGCAATCTTATTTGTTGTTCGTTTGTAAGGAGGCTAATATATCTTCTTCAGTCTGT